GTCTTGAGGAGGACCCCGCAACAGCCTCATTAGTTGAGAAGATCATGTCATCTCCATCAAATTAGCTACTTAGTTATTGAAAAGGAGCCTCAATTTGTTAAAAGACACTATAAATTGCCAATATTTGGGGGGGGGGGTGTCAAACACATCTGCAATCTCTCTCATCTCTCTCACATAGCTTGTACCTTCATTGCTCTCCACTAATCTCCTTACACTCCTTGAAGTAAAAAATATCAGGCCATTCTGGCCCTTCATAGTGGAGTAGGTCATGTTGGTCGAACCACTCTACATCTTTGTCTTGTTTGTATAACTCTTTTTCTACTTAATTATTGTATTAATCATTAATTACTCGACAGGTAATGGATAAAATCAATTTGTACATCATCAATTTGGCTCCGTCTATGAGAACGATAAAGTTGTCACCCAATCACCTTTTTTTCTTGTACCTATGACAATCACCACCAGATCCATGAATTAGCCCGAAGACAATCCATCACGTGAGGAGCAGACTGCCCCTCCACCAACTTATCATGTTCCAAATGCACAACAGATGCTCAAAATGATGCAACAACTCGTAACTCAGAATCAACAAATCCTACAGCTGATGCTCGATGGACAACTGGGTGGTGCGCAGCTGAGAGGACATCAAGCCAGAGGAGCTCCTCTCACTAGTCGACAAGGAGCTTCCCACTTCGGCACCCCCATAGGAGCCCCTCGTCAAAACCATGATGGAGCTCCGCCTCCTCCTCTAGCTCTCTTTTCGTACAGTGGAGATCCTTGTTTTCAAGAGGATAAGGGCAAGAATCAAAACGTCAAACATGGGAGCCATTTCCATGACAATTCTAAAGGAGCTCCCAATCATTGGGACAAAAAAATAAAGAAGTACATAATCAATTGGACGACGTTTTCAATGTCATGAAGGCGCAAGGATCAGAAACTGTTTTCCCAACTACCTTGAAGGGATTTTCCTGACAGTGGTTTGCCAAGCTCATTTGAGTCTCCATTAGCTCTTTTGCCAAACTAAGTAGGTCATTCGTGTCACACTTCATTGGAAGACGTCCCCACCAGTAGCCTGCCACCTATTTACTCAACATAAAGTAGGATCGAGACGAGAGTCTGAGGAGTTACTTCACTCATTTTAATGAGAAGGTCGTCCAGATTGAGGAGCCCGATGATAAGGGCCCCATGACCACCTTCTTAGAAGGCCTCCGCTCCTTGAGCTTCCTCTTCTCATTGATGAAGCACCCACCAAAGAGCATGCTAGAACTGTTGGCAAAAGCTTGAAAATACATGAATGCCGAGGACATTTCCAGGGTCAGGCGAAGTGAATCCTTACGAATAGGAGAGAAGAGAAAGGAATGAGACAGAGAAGATAAGGAGAAGATAAGAAGAAGAATGAAAACAAGTGAGGTAGGATAGAAAGGGTGTCTACCAAAGACCGACTTGGTCCTGCCTTTTAGAGGGAGCAACAAAAATTCACTCCCCTCAATGCCACTATCGGGCACATCCTATTTCAAATCGAGGATGATCCCGCAGTAAAGTAGCCTGGAAGAATGAAATCTCCCCCAAATTGCAAGAATCCGAATAAGTATTGTCGCATCCATCGTGATTATGACCACGATACCAACGACTGCTATGAGCTTAAAAGACGAATTGAAGAGCTTATACAACGTAGTCAACTACGACAGTATATTGTTGGTAGGGGTCAAGTGCCGTCACCACCTCATAACCAAGAAGACCAGCAACCCCTTGAAGAAATTCACACTATCTTCGAAGGGCTCGCAAGACGAGGAGAATCCCTCTCAGCCATAAAGGCTCTTGCCAGAAAGGCTAGACACATTGATGATCTGTGCTCGTCCAAGGCACACAAGCAAGGAAATTAAGAAGTCATACTCTTTTTAGACAAGGAGTTGGAAGGAATTAAGCACCCCCATGAGGACCCACTAGTGCTGACAATGTCCATCGCCAATTTTCAAGTGCAAAGGATTCTCGTAGACAGTGGCAACTCAGCAGATATCTTGTTCGTAGAAGCCTATGACAAGCTCTCCCTCGGAAGAGAAAGACAATAGTCCATCAAGTTGCCCCTTATCGAATTCTCAGGGGAGAAAATGTATCCCTTAGGATCTATCACCTTACTAGTCACAACCCCATCACCAACGAGGAAGAACTCCACATCAACCTTGACTTGGTGGAGAAGGAAAGAGAAATGAACATGGTCTAGAATGCGGAGTACAAGCGCCGCATGGCGAAATACTACAACTCAAAAGTGAAGTCTCGCTCCTTCCTACCAAGAGACTTAGTTCTCAACAGAGTAATCCACACCACGAAGAATTCGCGGGAAGGGAAGCTTGGCTCAAACTGGGAAAAACCTACCTTATCACAGAAATAGTAGGGTCAGACACCTACAAAATCATGAATTCTGAAGGAAAAGTCTTACTCCATCCATGGAATGCTCAGCATTTGAAGAGGTACTATCAATTACACTTAAGGAGGGCAGAAATAATAAAGTTGAGGGGCTTGAATTTATTTTTTGTATCTTTTTTGGGTTATTACCTACCATTGCTTAGATTGAGCAGTCATGAAATAAAATTTTCTAAAGTTTACTTCAAAAATTTCTTTGCATTCTATTTCAAGTGAACATCAGTGGTAAAAAATCACTTTTACAAAAAAAGAGGTTACATACTACCTTTCTACAAAAAAAAAAAAAGTCAAAAGTCCCCAAACACTCTAACTGCTCTCATGGTCATCATACTCCTCGTCCTTATCCTCTACATCGTCAAACTAACAATCATCACCATCAACATCAACATCATCAGGCAGCTCATACGACACAAAGCATGAATAGTCAATATCTAGGAAAATAGTAGAAATCATTCTCCAAAGCTCCTCGTAGCCATCAATGAAGACATCTGCAAGGTCACTCTCTGAATCAGCCTCTGTCTTGGTGGCCTTCTCATAAGTCAATCGTAGATCCGCCTTAGCCCGGAAAACTCTCTCGTGAGCTACCTTCAACTCTACTTTTGCTCTCAAGCGAGCAACCTCACCATCTATCTCGAGCTTACCAGTCTTCTCGTGGGTCGCCACAAGCTCTGTTTCAGCTTTTGTGCAAGCAGCCTCTCTGAGCGCAACCTTCTCATAAGTCACCACACGTTCAGCCTAGGTAGCCTTACCATCAAATTCAAGCTTAGCAATCCTCCCTTAAGCAGCAAGAAACTCCATTTTTATAACTTCATAAGCAAGCCTCTCCCCCTTGACAGTTGAGCTCAGCTGGTTCAACTAGACAGCCCTCAAAAAATGGCACACAGCCATAGTTGAAACCTAAGGAAGATAAAAGAATGTCAGTATCCGAGAGAGGGACAAGACCAAGGGAGAAAATAGACCCTTACTTGGGCCAGACCTTCTAGAACCGTGTCAATAATGCCATCAGTGCCCCGAGCACCAACTTGATTTATCTCTACTAGAAACACAAATCTCACAAGTCACTCCCTGATGATCCGCACATCACCCAACATGGAGACAGTTCGAGTGGCTACCCTTATAAAAGTCTCTGTAGAAGGAGTTGATGAATGGGGGGCAGGAGGTATGGCCACCTAGGGAGTCTCTAGAGTGGCGGTCACCTTTGAAGGAGCCACTAACTGGGGAGATGCCATGAGAGTTGTCATCTGAGAGGGGCTCACCAAAGCATTGCTCACCCTTACCACCTTAGGTGGAGGAGTACCCCTAATGGAATAACGGGACTCCACCACTGTCCTATCTACTGCAGAGGGATAAAGTGTTATACTTAAGCAAAACTAAGTAAAGAAAAAAAAATCCAAGGGAATCAACATACCTTTTCTCTTCAAGGAGAAACTATTAGGCCTCGGAAATGGTGCACCAACCTTAACACTTCCAGTAGGAGAGTCTCTATCTCCACCCACTTTGAGCATGAGAGCTTCAAAGTTCTTCACATGGTGAGCCTTCATAGCTTGTAATTTGCATTCTTGGTCCTTTGAGAGCACCGAGGAGCCTAGTAGAAATGTTATGAGTACACACTAAAAAAATGCAAAGGAAAAAGAGTAAAGAGCGGGCATACTAATTCTCTAGGGAGTATCCCACCTTGTTGGTACCAAAGCCTTGTCAGTCTCTGAAGCCCATTCTCCACTAACAAACATAAAACAAGCCTTCCAACTATGGCAATTAGAACGCAATCCAGTAATCAATTTACCTCCCCTCGAAGTAAAGTAGTATTAGCCACGATTAGAAGTAGGAGTTTCACTCAAAGTATAAGCCATACAAAACTCTTTAGGAAAAACATCCTCATAATGCACTTTTCTCCATAGTGCCGGAAATCCAAGCAAAACTCTCCAACCGTGGGGCCCAACTGCCCTAGTGCAAGTGAAAAATAATGGAGAATTCGACAAACAGAAGAAGGTGTTGGGAATCTCAGCCCAGCCTCAAGCACCTCCTTATAAATGGCAATGTCTCTAAATGAGTCATCACAAGCAAGCTTACCCATTTTAGCTCAACGACACAATACCGTTGGAAGGATGTTATAGGTGGAAACAACTCTCAGAATATCAGCATTAGTGTTGAGGGTACTAGAAATAGTACTTACTTTAGATCCGTCATCATCAACAGCTACCTCTCCTCAATTTTTGTTGTTGTGAGGGCGAGAAACATTGCCCGAGCCACTACTAGGAGACCCTTGAGGGATTTGACTCCGTGGAGTTCCACCTGAATGAACCATATCGTCCGCCATTTGATCAAAATCATCGCCACTAGAAACACTAATATTACCAGGTGTATTCTACTCCATACCTCTGTGCCCAACCTCCGCTACCATGCCTAGCTCGCCCAATGTCGACGGGTACGCGTCTGCGTCCACCGCTGCCTGCTCAAGCCCTGGCCCCATCGATGCCACATGCGCACCCACCTAGCTACACCCAGCGCCTAGCAGTGCCGCTGGTGTGCTCCACCATTTGTGCCCAGCACCTTGGCATGCCCAACCTCCCACAATCAGCTCACTCGTCATATGGTGCCGGTGGCGCCTTGCCTAACGATGCCCATGGCGCCTCGCCTAGCGGAGCCCCTGCTGCCTTGCCATTGATCTCCATCTTGCCTTCAACACCTGCCTGGGTTATTACCTCTCCGATGACAACTAGACCCCCTATTTCAACGGGGTTTGCCTGAGCTCTGACATCAACACCGATCACTCCATCTTGCATCTCCTCTTTGTCACTTGACATCGATCTCTAAGCACTCAAGTCAAGGATGGGATCATAAACTCCACTCATCTTGCCACTTGCCTTGATTCTTGGGTATCTCACAAATAACCCTCTCTCAAGTTTTGTGGAATGAAAAAAGAGAAAACCCCCTATTTATAGCCTAGGGATTTTAAAATACTATAAGGAGATAAAATGGGGGGAGTTTACATAGCGAGAGATGTATTACATAGATGAACTACATCATGAACGAAAAGAAGTCATTAGTCAAGTAGAGTCATCGATCAAGAGGAATACTCGTCAATCAGAGTCCAAGTTCAAATGCCCTCTTCTCCAAGTCTCAATGGACTCGAAACGTTTGGGGGCAAATGATGGGCCCAGCCCAAAGCCCAACACATGTTATGGGGGCCCAACTTGAATAATGGATCCGCCTGGACAAAACCTGATAGCCCACCCCAAAAGGAATCTATGTTTAGTCAGCCTCATCGAAGCCCTAAGAGGCACATCGTCAAGAGATGGGCGACACTATCCCAAGAGCCTCATTCACGTCTCCTTGGAGTAAGGGCCACACCATCCTAAGACCTAGTCTTGAGGAGGACCCCGCACACAGCCTCATTAGTTGAGAAGATCATGTCATCTCCACCAAATTAGCTACTTAGTTACTAAAAATGCGCCTTAGTTTGTTAAGAGGCACTATAAATTGTAAGCCTCGCCAATACTTGGGGGCATCAAACACTTCTGCAATCTCTCTTATCTCTCTATCTCATAGCTTGTACCTCAATTGCTCACTCCTAATCCTTTTACACTCCTCGAAGTAACAAAACACCAGGCTATCCTAGCCCTTCATAATAGAGTAGGTCACATTGACCGAACCACTCTACATATACAATTAAATATTTCATTCATGNAGCATACAGGTGCTTCCAATGTTCTTCTATTGACCTGGAGAAGATGAGAATATCATCTATATAGACAATAGAAAAATGACTTATACAATTAAATATTTCATTCATGATGTTCTGGAATTCGCTTGGAGCATTTTTGAGCCCAAAAGCCATAACATTCCATTCATAATGCCCAAAAGGGGTGGTGAATGCAGTCTTATACCTATCTTCAGGGTGGATCTGTATTTGCCAATATCCACTTTTGAGATCAAATTTTGAAAAGATAACAGACTTACTGAGTCTTTTTATCAAATCTTGCTTATTAGGTATAGGGTACCTAATCCATTCTAAAACTTTGTTTAAAGGTTTATAATTGATAACAAGTCTTGGTACTCCTCTTTCTAATTTTGCATTTTTAACTACATAGAAAGCAGGGCAAGACCAGGGCGATTTACTTTTCCGAATGATACCATTTTTTAATATCTCAGAAATCTCTTTTTTACAGATTTTCATAGTTTCATGGTTCATTTGGATGGGTCTGGATTTAGTTGGGATGTTGTCCTCACTAAACCCTTTGATATAGGGAAGTCTAACCACATGTTTATTCCTATGCCAGAATGCTGTAGGAAGGGATGAACAGACTTCTGCTTTTAATTTTTCTCTAAACTTTTCAATTTTTTGTTGTAATATTGGATTGGTTAGGTAATCTTTAATTCTGAGGTGGTTAATCTCTTCTTTAAGAAATTCCACTTGTTTAATTTTATTATGAATAACATTAAGGGACTTAGAGACTGAAACATCTCTTAGTTGCCTCAAATGTTTTCTTTTTGGTTTGGTAATAAAAGGAAATACAACCTTTGTTCCAAAGGGCTTGGTTGTTAGTCCATTCGTATCTGTACTAAAAGGGTACAATAGATATACAAATGGTAAACCAAGGATGACTGCATCTGTCATGTCTTTAACCAAAATAAATGATGTCTCAAAACAAACATCTTGTTGGCAGTAATAAGTGGTAAAATAAAAGGCTTCTGAGCTCTCCTTTCGCATTGAAGAAGGCTTTACAAGAGAAGGGTATGTTTACAAGATCTAGAGGGCTTGTAATATAGTCTGAAATTTTAGACTTGCTAAAATTCGACCTGTTTCTTCTTCTGAATGGAGTTGCCTTATATAGGGATAAGGGACTCCGGAGGAAATCATTTTCCATTATTCCCTTTCTGTTTTCACTTGTGGGTAAAGCATTTCACTTTGCTGCTTTTGGCTGGAAAGTAGAGTAACATGAATTCACCCATGGTAAAAGGACAGACGGAATGGACTAGTGGGTCCTTCTTTTGTCCTGGGAATCTATCTTTCGGTGGAAAAGTAGATGCGATTGACATAATGTGATATTATGATTTACATAGAATGGACAACTTTTCTTTCTTTATTGGAAGAAAGTAGTGATTGAAACCATTTTATGTAAACAATAATTCACGGGAGTGCCAAATCCGGGGTGAGGTCATCAATATCATCAAATGCTGCAAATGGATCTTGGGCATATCCTGGAGGGAGCTCTGCTGATACAGATCCTTGCGATGATGCTGACGAGTCACTATCCGAATTAATCTGGTCTAAGATCTTCTGGAGGAGCTTAGCCTTGGACTTCCTTTTGGATTTCTTGCTGGAACCCTTAGATGAGGATTCCTTTGGCTGGGCTGCCTTTTCAGGAAGGCTGGGCCTAACTTGCTGAGCAGGCTGGGCCTTAATAGGAGTGACTGGTAATAAGGTACTTGGGACTGCTACTGGAGTTGGTACCTTGACAGGGAAATCCTCTTGAACCATGGCAATAATGTTGCCTTGTTGGAACCTTGGCCACCATTTGGCATAAAATTGCCGGACTAGATTGAATCCAACAATTTTCCATTGCCATTTGAGAATCCATGGGACTTTGTACCTGCAAATAAATATTAGTAAAAGGGGGACAGGGCTCTCGTGTTTACTAGGACGGTAAACATATGAGAAGATATTAATCTAATCTAAAAGATCAGCTGGAAAGATTTCATTAATGGGGCCGTGTTGATGCCACTACTTTAGGAACCACGCAGGAATGCGGCTTTTGAAATCTTTATGAAAAGATAAGAACCAAGAATGAGTCAAATCCTCATTTTGGTAGAGTAGTATTTTAGACCATGACTCAATGTAGTCATAGTAATTAAATTGTCTGGTGTGAAATGGAAGATCTCGGAGTAAAGATGGATGAGAACCCCATTCCTCAACAGAAATAATGTTGCATATAGTTAATGCATGATAAAGGGTTTTGGATGGGTCATTCTTATCTGGTATGGGCCTGGTAAGAATGGATTTTGTGAAAAAGAGAATATCTTGGTAGAAACTATGTGGTTTCTCAAGATCTACAGGAATGAAATTCCAACCTTTAGGGAGGTAGGCTTTCACCAGATCTCTTGGATCCTTGTACTGGGAGTGGGAAAATTCAATGGCTAATACATTCTGGGTAAAAGCCTTGATATAATCAATTCTTGGGCCTTTATGAGCTGAAAAAGATTGAGATGATGTGTAAGGGTTGGTTAATATACTGGTAGGTGGTCTTTGGGCCATTTGGGTAAAAGTCAATGGGTTAACAGTAGTTGAAATGGCTACTGGCCTTATGACTAAGGATGATTGGGCTATTGGCCCAGGTGATGGGGCTACTGGCCTCATTGGGTTAGGGTTTCCTAATGTCAAATACCTGTTTGACAAAACTATTGGCAAGTCAGGTTCAGGTTTTGGTAAGACATGTTTATCCTTTTTTCCCCCCGGATTTTTGGAGGATGTGCCAGATGAACTGGGTTTCCTAGTGGCCATGAGGTTCCTGCAAAAATTCACGGGTTAGGAAATCAGGAATATAATTATTTTCACCTTTAATATATTCTATATCAAAGTTGAAAATACTTAAAATAGATTGCCATCTTGCAAAAATTTGCTTAGTAGCAATATTTTTAACATCTTTTGTTAAAACATCCTTTGCGGATTTACAATCAACCCGTATCAGGAATTTCTGATTTAATATATCATCCTGGAATTTAGAGATACACAGAACAATAGATAAAATCTATTTTTCAATAGTAGAGTAATTGGCTTGAGTCTTATTCTAAATTCCAGAATGGAATCGAACAATTTGTTCAGGAGAAGTAAGGGATATTCGCTGAAGGAGGATACCACCATAGCCAATTTCTGAGGCATCAGTCTGAATGATCTTGAAGGAGTCAACAGACGGGATTCCAAGACAGGGAAGAGTTTTAATGAACTGCTTGACCTGTTGAACAATAGAAGTATGGACAGGGGTCCAAGGAGGAGGATTTCCTTTGAGCCTGTCATACAGAGGTTTGATGGTTTTCCTAAGATCCTGATAGAAGTCAGAAACATAATTTAGGGAACCTAAAAACCTTTGGAGCTGATTCTTATCTAATATTTCATCAGGGAACTTATCTGTAAATTGGATAGCCCTACTGATGGGAACTATGGTAGACTCCTGGATGTTGTATCCTAAAAACCTTACTGAGGTTTGAAATAGCTTAATCTTAGGAGCTGAAATGACTAAACCATTTTGTTTTACTAGTTCAAAGAAAGCATACAGGTGCTTCCAATGTTCTTCTATTGACCTGGAGAAGATGAGAATATCATCTATATAGACAATAGAAAAATGACTTATACAATTAAATATTTCATTCATGATGTTCTGGAATTCGCTTAGAGCATTTTTGAGCCCAAAAGCCATAACATTCCATTCATAATGCTCAAAAGGGGTGGTGAATGCAGTCTTATACCTATCCTCAGGGTGGATATGTATTTGCCAATACCCACTTTCGAGATCAAATTTTGAAAAGCTAACAGACTTACTGAGTCTTTTTATCAAATCTTGTTTATTAGGTATAGGGTACCTAATCCATTCTAAAACTTTGTTTAAAGGTTTATAATTGATAACAAGTCTTGGCACTCCTCTTTCTAATTCTGCATTTTTAACTACATAGAAAGCAGGGCAAGACCAGGGCGATTTACTTTTCCGAATGATACCATTTTTTAATATCTCAGAAATCTCTTTTTTACAGATTTCCATAGTTTCATGGTTCATTTGGATCGGTCTGGATTTAGTTGGGATGTTGTCCTCACTAAACCCTTTGATATAGGGAAGTCTAACCACATGTTTATTCCTAT